TGCAGTTCCTCAGCCATCGCACGTTCTGTGTGAAGTTTGCTGATTTTCTGAACGAACCTGGAAGGGTAATCCGCGGGGTTCCTCAAGGATCAGTACTACGACCACGACTCTTTCTAATTTACAGCAACGACTTGAAACATGATCTCTAAAATCCCTGTTNCTGTTTTGTGTTCGCGGATGATGTGACAGTAGCCAGAGTAAACCTAGAGCACGACGTAGAAGTGGTTAGATAATCGTGTATCAAGTGGGACTTGCCACTAAACCTCAGCAAGAGCTGACACCACCCAGGATAGACAGCTACCACTGCAGCACACAAAGGTAGTAAAGGTCTTAGGGATTATTCTCACGAAGAGGTCTTTTTTCCTGTTTATAAGGCAATAGCTCATCCGCACTTGGTATACTATGTTCAGGAGCGGATCCCATACTACTGGAAGGATTTATCATGCCCAGAGAAGGTGCAACGGCTTGCTACCCGAATGATAGCTGGACAAAAGGGGAAAAGCTTTGAACAACGACTAGGGGATCTCAGTGTTGTGGTCGACAACTGACTGATTCGCTTGCCATACATGGCTGTGGCCAGATTGATTGATCGATTAACTGACTGTTTGAATACTGGCTTGACGGCATTCGCGTGTAGTGAAACGTGAGCCGGAATCTACTTGCCTGCCTGCCTTCCTACACCCTGATGGTTCCTAATTGTTCCCCGGTTTGTGTACCGGCTACATATTTGCTGTTTACAATAAACTTACTGCTTCATTCGTTGTGTGCTCATTTGCCTATTAAATTTGGGACACAACACCGAAGTGGAACATGAGAGAACAGCGGCAGAATTTTCACCTGAGGCAGTCCTATTAGTATCAGTACGTTGTGGTCTGTTGTACTTCTCGGTCGCCCAGCCCATAGTGGGCCTTGTTCGAGAGTGCACTCTAACCTTTGCACAACCAAGGGCAAACTAAAAAGCAGTAACATTGTTCCAGGTGAGCCAGTGACCGGTTGGTTGGTTCATTCATCTCTTATCGAGAACCTTGTCGGGTAGGTAGAACCGGATAACGAAGCAATAGCCATCACAGCACTGCCAAAAAATACATGTAGTGTTTTGTGTGGAGAACCCTTGCTAGGTGGTCATCCCACCACATCGTCGGTCACTGGAGCTGATCTTCCGCTACTCCTTATTCAGTGAGCCTAAATCCACTTTATTCACGGTTAACCGCGAGATAACTGCCGTTCTCCTATTCACGACCTATGGGCACGTACGATAGCATACAGCTGTGCTCTTGCATAGTAGTGCATCCAATGGGAGAAGCGGTATATAGACAGGATGGAACCTTATCGGCTGGGGGCTGCTCAGCTTGGGCGGGCGGTAGCTGTCCAATGGAGTACGAAAACTTTTCCCACCGTCGAAAGGAAGCCTCAAGTGCCCTGCTCCTACGTCCATCTAGTAGGTAAACCGGTAAACTGCCTTTCGTCGTGTCTATTTGCTGGAGTAACCAGGATCGAGAGGAGATGGTCAAAGGAAGCCAGGAGGTACCCAAGCAGCTGGCCTTGTGAGACTAAGTTTTATCTGGCCCCTAACCATTGACCTTTCAGGTATGGTTGAATCTGCGACTGAGACGCCATCCTGTGTAGCTGTGTAGCTGTCAGGTTCATGGAGCCACACAAGCCATCACACCGCGTCAAAGTACGGTCTCGTGATGGTAAATCCACGTCGATTTCTCTAGGCGAAAAGTGCTGAGTTAAGCTTTGAAGGTTTATGATTTGGAGGTAGTCGAGTTGACCCAGTGATTGTGACGCGAGTACCATTTTAATGTGGTTCATGGCAGCCAATAGAGCAACATTGAAGGCTACAGCGGCTTTGGGGTTGTGGTTTTGATTCTCCGTACCATATCATATGCCCGTATCCCCTAAACTATACACTGTACCATACCAGTATGCCAAATTACTTTGATCCATGTCTTCCTAGTCACACCCTGTTCTAGTTGCGAAAACACGATTACCCCGTTATGACTGACCTTTGTGGAAACTGATTATCTTATTCACCAACACAGTCACACACGGGTACAAACTTTCACTGTCGCATGATCCGTATCTCACGGATGTCCGTTGACCTTTTTGACTATTATCGTCCTCAATCTGTACTTCAGCCTCCCTTGGTTGCGTACTATAAAGGTGTATTTCCTATACGTGTCTCTGATTGGACGGTCCTCATGACGTTTGTTCTCATGTCTTGCATGTCGTCCTTCGGTTCGCTAATTTACTTTGCCTGGCGACCGAAGATGTAGTTTACTCGTTTGGTATTTTGACCTTAATAACCTCTGCCTACGTTTTCGGTTCACCTCTGTTTAGTTGATTGTTCGGCGGGCCTCCCGTGAAAACTTTACGAATTGAGGTTTGCACATGTGTGAATGCAACTGTTGTTTACGTGATGTACCGCATTTACCGGGCCCTGTTGTATAATTGCATATTAATAAGTCTCGTCTTCTGACTTGGCGCACCACTCTACCTTAGCTTGTACTCCAGACCTAATTAGGAGACCTAGGATAGACGTGTTTTCGACCTTCACGATAGCAAAGCTGCCTGCCACAAAGGTGTGTTCACTCTTGATTCTGCCTATCTGATTTCGGGCAGTGATTCTCCTCTCGTCCCATCCCCCTTTCCACCCACTATGCTATTTGACCAGCTCTGGCCTAGTCCGCACGTTCAAGCAATTACTCGCCGAAGGTGGCGTGACTGGCCTGTGGCGCGGTGGTCTACCAAATGTCCAACGTGCAGCGTTGATCAACATGGGAGAACTGACCACCTATGATACAGCGAAACGATGGTATGCTATCCGATTTCAGCTAGAGGTAAGCATGATTATTTCACATTTACCAGTAAATAAGGATTCAGTTAGTTGACCGTAAATTTGTTTACCGAGTTCTGTCAATTGATTATCTGTGCATTTTTTTAGTCACAAGGCATGTTTTCCGTAATCAAAACGTTGCGTCATGATTATTATTACCATTATCAGTGTTTTACTGATTTAAGTGTATTACATCTCATTCCTAGTTGCTGCTCTAGAATGGAGGAAATCACATGGAGGTCAGCAGAAGATGAGGAAACGAGACGTTGATAAATGTGATTAGGTAGAGTAGGTGTCTCCCGTCTTCTAGGCGGTGGCCCAAAACACTGCGTAACTAATTTGTTGGAGACACTAGAAGATATGCAATGAACCGACAACAGTGGACTTTTTTCCGGCCAGAATGCTTAGAAAGGATTGTGTACTCTTTGTGATGACTTTAGGGGTTCACTTTTCCCTTTCTCTTAAAACAAATCCACTCTCTGTCGGCCATGAAGTTTCGTTCGTTGCATACATTGCAAGCTTGGAACCAATCCTTGGGGTTCGGTACCCTGTAGTTCGCTCTACAATGATGATGGTGATTTTATCATGACGCGAAAATTGGGATGTACACTAATAGGTGATTATCTTCATCCCTGTGGATTGTGCTCACCAACTGCCAACCACAGTGGAAGTGAACAATGTGCTGATGTGTACCATCTTAAGTACACTTCGAAGTACTGAATCAAAAAGTGTGGTTACTGAAATCTGCTCAGGAAAGAAGTTGGTGGTGTACGCTTGTTTGATTCAGTGCTAGTGCCACGCACTGTCTTCAGTCAAATACCGTTTTACACCGTCGTGGTGGGTATTTTATTCGAGAAGATTCGTCGTTATGATAGCAGTTAGTTTCAACGTTTAGGTGAACTACTCTGAGTCATTTTCCCCCATCGGGGTGTTCTACTAGTTTCAGGTTGTAGTGCTACAAGTTACGTGAGATCATCTACACAGTCAGGTAGCTCATTTATTCGAATGAAAACTGCGGAAGCGGCAAGGCCGAGCATATATCCCAATATTTTTTTATTCCAAGAATGCATATGATTTCGAGGTTTTTGTTCTAGTTTGATTGACGTACTAATTATAATTGTATTGTTGTACATTTTCGTGTAATTTTTAGTCGAAGGGGTGATCTCAATGGTCATGATTGTCTCCGTTTCTTTTTATCCTATCCTTTATTGAAAACCCCAATCCCAGCCCGATCTAATTTTGAAAAGTAACTTGACATACCCTTATCATGTGAATGGTGTCTTTCATTCACACTGGTGATTATAAATTTAAGTGTGGCATGATCGTGAAATGTGTAAAGTTCAGATCTCCACGACTCGTGTATTCGCATCATGTGTGTTGATACCACGATGTATGCTGTTCATTTTTGTTCATTTTGCGATAAAATGAACGGGAAACGTTGTACCAGTAATCTGATCGAGGTATTCTGTGATTCTTGTCGTTACGAGCCTCGTCGGACTTTTCAGTTGCCTAGATGACTTTACTCGGTTCATGTGGAACTCGTTAATCTGACCATTGGTATTATTCATAAAACGGTGAGATGGGCATTGCGGTCTACCATCATCCGGGACTTGTGCCCCAATCGCCTGGGTCACTACATTTGTCTGACCGATTTCATCTGTTCAGATTGAACAGTAAACCATGCTGCCCAGCCGACTGGTGATTGTAGCTCCTTGAATTAATGTTGTACGCCACTTCCCTAGGTGTTTGAAGGTATTTTTTCCATTCATTCAATTGAGATACTAATGACTCACCGATTTATCTTATTATTATATTTATTTATATTCGAACACATCTAAAAAAGACAAGGTTTTTCAACACCTTACTTATTGTGAACTTGCACAAACGAAGTTAAGTGTAAAGGGTGTCTGATATCACCTCTAAGGTGACATGATTTTATAATCCTGGGACTTGCTGCACCTCTTTGGTCTCCTTTAAGCTGAAGCACGCATCAGCTGCTACACTCCGATAGACGGCTCGAAAGGTTGAGGATTAGTCTAGGCTTAAATAATCGCGAGTTGGCTTACGGCATGCTAAACAACTGACCCCTGAGCGAGCATAAGAGAGCTGTTGCCTGATTTAACAATCATGAAAGGTGTCAAACTAGGAAGGATACAGGAATTTTTGGACTTTATCGTTGCCAGTTGTCAGTGATTTTCTAATGAGCCATCGGTAATCATGCATCAACACTGCTGCCTTGCAGTTCTCACCTGGTGGTACAAAGACCAAAGGTGTACCCCAAATAAAAGGCCGGATGGTTCTCGAGGAGTGTCTTGTACCGAACTCCCATGAAACTTCACAGCTGTTGTGGAAACCAGCCTATCCTACCCGAGGGAACTGACTGTAGTAAAGCATGTAGTACAAACTAAGTAAAATTACCAATGTTCTGAGCTGCTGTACCGCTTGACCACCGGGCCACAGCAGGGGACCTTATTCCAATCCTTTACTGGACTAGTCTAAATAATAAAGTAGTGGCTGGTTTGAGTCCGCGATCAATTCGGGAGTGAAGAAAACCGTAACTCCAAACTACTTACTTCAATACTTTTCAGTAAACAGTCTACCATCACGGTTACCGAGTTTGCGCGTGTACAGGCTCAAGTTTTTATTTCTCATAGGCCAGTAAACATTGCCATGAAATACTTAAGGATAGTAATATCGTATCAAATTTATCCAGTGACAAAGACCTATTTGTGATTTACTTCTTATTTCTCTCCCCTGGTTGATCTAGGTCAGGAATACCGAAGCCGTGTGATGAATATGCATACATGTAAACTGTGATGATATGAGAAAGTGTTCCGTGTGGAGATAAACACAAAGATACACAGATAGATTACCAATATATTGTCATTACTTGACGCAAAATTAAGTTAGAATGGTGTTCCGCTTGTCTGATACATTTCTGCTCTAGGATGGACCATTCTTGCACATCTGTTCCTCGGCCACATCTGGCTTTGTGGCTGCCATAGTGGGTACTCCAGCCGACATGATCAAGACACGGATCATGAATCAACGAGCTTCTCACTCAGATGGCTTGTTCTACAAAGGTGTGATAGATTGTGCAACGAAAGTTGTTCGGAATGAAGGCTTTTTTGCGCTGTACAAAGGATTCTTCCTGATCTGGGCCCGAATCGTAAGTATGGATAGATGGTGGTTTTTTTGTTAGTTTCAATTAAAAGTGGGATCTGCTGCAAACTACATTTTTAGTTAACCGTCTTGCTATGTAAAAACATGATGCTTCGTTCATGCCAAAGGCTGTGGTTCACTAACTGTAATTACTTCAGTTTTACCAACCAAAAGTCAGGTAAGTGCTTTATGCATTGATGTTTTGTTTTGTTAAAATCTACTCTATAACCGAGCGTCAATCCCGATTGATGTTGAGCCACATTTCTAGATGATATTCTGTAATAAGCCTTCGCGGCATCTGAAATAGCATAATAGAGTTCCTTTAACTCAACTAACAAATTGCTCCTCAGTGCCTTATGATACTATTGGTCTTAATATAAAAGCAGAACATGACTGCTTTACGGACCGTAAAACTTACTTATCCCCCCAGTTGTCTTTTAGTCACCATGGATTTGAATCCTGTGATTCAGTTTGATTGCAACTAATAAAGAGGTCTATTCCCATGTTTGCATATTTCACAACAATGCTGTTGTTACTGGTTACCTTCAGATAGTGAAAAATACAGGTCAAATGGATTTCGCTGATTACTGGATCCCCATTGTAAATCACTTCCCTCGTTAGACATCATATGTTTTCATATTGCGAACATTATCATAATGAACCATAAGCGCATTTCTGAGAATGAAGGGCTTATTTGTCGTATCGATGCATGCACCGACTGATTGCAATTCGTCAGAAATGAAGGATGAATTCTACAAGGGCGTTTATCAATTACTCCAAACAAACATCATAGTAGTTGCTGGAGACTTCAATGTTCAAGTGGAATGCCTGGACGAATCAGAAAGGCTTATTGGTGAACCACATGCAATCTCAGCCAACCGACCGGGAAGAATGGCTTCTTCAGTTTAGTGTGAATCACAGATTGTCCCCATTAAGGATCCACTTCTCGCACAAGAAACGACACCGCCATTTTTGGAAACCACCACCGTCTGCACAGCGCTGGACCCCAATCGACCACATCGCCAACAGTTACCGCTGAAATGGGGCAATTCAAGACTGCCGCTCTCGATGGTCAACACCTGTGGATACGGTCCACACTTTGTTGCGAGCCGAATTCTTCCTACGCGTTGCACACAGCCGCAAAATAGCCACCGGCAGCGAATACATACGATTTATTACCAGTTATAATTGTGAGTTGGCCTTCGATGCGGAGCTATCTGATTTCCCATCAGTTCAACCACCACTCAAAGGACTCAAATCAAAGTGATTAAGTAAAAATCGATAAAAACAGTGGTGGACTCTAGCACACGGTCAAAACACCAACGAAAATCTCGTCGACCTTGCCTGCCTTGATGGACACCCACAGAATCCTTCCTCCTGATATCAACTATGCCACAACGTGCATATCCCTTGAACGCCAGCTCATCAAGGGTAATGGCCGCAAGAATTGGTGGATAGGGAAGTGTTGAGAGAGCAAATAACTGCTATAAATGAACGTCGCAATCTTTTCCATCTAATTTGGAATACGGGCCCCAGGAAAATAGGCGTAAGCGAGGTATTTAAGGGTTCCGATGGCACAGTGATTCATTCTTTTTCGCATGTTTGCCGAGCTTGGCAATTTGTTTGCAAATGTTTCATCACCAGCCGAGGGGAC